ATTATATAGTTTCTGTCCTTTTTCTCTTCTTGTACAGATCCCAACAGTTAAGGAGAGAGAAGGATCCATTCCACTCTGTTCAAAAACACTGACCTTTGCTTACTGTCAGATTTAAAAAGAAAGGTATTACCTTTTTTTCTTCTTCTTCTGGGTTTTGGTTATTTTTGTGTGTTCTTCCTTCATTGGGTTTCTGTTTCGTGCATTTAATTCTTACAGCCTGTTTATTTTATCCTCTTTACTTGCACCAGAAGAGAGAGAGAGAAAGAAGAAGAGAAAGAGGTCAACAGGGTCTTTTTCTTCATGCTTTTGATTCTGGTTTAGTTTATCGCTACTTCATTTGTAGTGTATGAATAGTGTGAATGTGAAAGAGATAAGCTTTGCCTTTTTGGTTTTTCTTTTCCATGATTCCATCCCTTTTGTGTTCATAATAGTTCATACTTTCGCTTTTCAATTTTCTAGAATATACACACAAACGATTGGTCAAGAATGATGCTGAGAAAAATTTAGGTTTTTTTTTTCATGCTTGACAGCGTTTCCAGGGTTATCCTAAAAGAAGGTGTGAACCCTTTGATTATATTGTAAGATAAAAAGGTAATCTCTTTGTCTTCTTCCTCCACCGTTTTCTCTTTCTTAAACTGACTTTTTAGTGAGAGGGAACGATTACTGTCTTTTTAGAGAGAGAAATAGACGTGCAATTAGTCATGCATGGGCGTTGACTAAGAGACAGCCCCATTCTTTATTTGTTGAGATGAACTTGTTTGAAAAAAAGTTTTATACTTTAGCACAATCTGGGTATTGTTTGTAAAGGTCAAATTAATGCACAAGAAAGAGAAACACAAACCCGAGCACAACCTTCTGAAAGTAATAGTGAAAATATCCTTTTTTTTGTTGAGTTTTTGGGGTTTGATCAAAGAGTAGCAACAACAACAGTGTCTCTCTCTCTCTCTCTCTCTCTCTCTCTCCAGTGCGGTGTCCTTTAATTAATTCATTACCTACTTTGTTTATCATTTTTATGGTTTTGAGCTTGGCTGTGTGTTTGTTATTATTTTAAAGATGGGTCATTTAAGGGGGGGACTTGGTTTTTGTTGCAGAAAAGGAATGGATGGTCATGGTGAAATGGGGCTGATTGGTGAAAACTTTGATCCTGGTTTCATTGGGAGGATGAGGGAAGATGGATATGATGAGAGTAGGTCCGGCAGTGATAATTTTGAAGTTGCTTCCGGTGACGATCAGGATGTCGCCGCCGATGATGGACCGAGGAAGAAGAAGAAGTATCACCGGCACACTCCACGGCAAATACAAGAGCTTGAATCGTATGCTTTTGCTCATATTTCATTTTACTCAATATGTAACAGTGATTTAAATAGTGGTCTCCTTTTTTTTTTGTTGCGCTGTGTTTCTGGAAATTGCCGTGATTGCGGGTTTCGCTGTCACACAATAATGGTTGCTGACGGCTGTAGCGGACTGCTATGTCTGTAGTTTATGGATTTTGTTTCTGTTTCTGTTGTTCTTTAGTTTCTTCAAGGAGTGTCCTCATCCTGATGAAAAACAAAGAATGGAGCTTAGTAGGAGGCTAGGTTTAGAGGGCATGCAAATAAAGTTTTGGTTTCAAAACAGGAGAACCCAGATGAAGGTTAGTGGATGATCTATTTTGTTTTGTTTTTACAATACTGATGATTGAATTCTAGACTGATTATGTATATTTATCCTTAGACTCAATTGGAACGCCATGAGAATGTAATTCTTAGACAAGAGAACGATAAACTCCGTGCCGAGAACGACATGTTGAAGCAGGCCATGACTGCCCCTGTATGCAACAGTTGTGGTGGCCCTGCGGTGCCCGGTGAAATATCTTTCGAAAAAAACCTGCATAGGATCGAGAATGCTCGATTGAAAGATGAACTTGGCCGGATATGTGCTTTAACGAACAAGTTCTTAGGCAGGCCTTTCTCTTCCTCGGGCAGTCCTATTCCTCTCAGGGCTAACGGGATTCGACTTCGGTGATGGCTCAACGATGCCCTTTGTGAAACCGGTTGTCAATGAAATGCAATATGACAGGTCGGCTTTTGTTGATGTTGCTTTGTCGGCTATGGATGAATTAATTAAGATGGCACAGATGGATAATCCTCTCTGGATAAAAGGCTTGGATGGTGGGATGGAATCCTTGAACATTGAAGAGTACAGGAAGACTTTCTCCTCGAGCATTGGTATTAAACCAAGCCACTATGCAACTGAGGCTACACGGGCCACCGGACTGGTTTACCTCCACGGCTTGGCTCTTGTAGAGGCATTGATGGATGCGGTATGCGATCTATTCAATTGTTTCAGTGCCTTCATTGTCCTATTGAACTTCCCATCAGCTATTGGGATTTGATTGTTTGTTTTGTTCGTTTGATGCCCTTCGTTTTCGACTTCGATGAATTGATTTTTTCTGCACATCTTTTGTAGTTTTTTGGTATCTTCAGATTTAGTATTTGAATTGTTGTTCAACAAGTTCTTTGTATGATATTTTATGAATAGAATCGTTGGGTCGAAATGTTTCCGTGCATAATTTCTAGAGCAGCAACCATCGATATGCTATCCGGTGGTACGGGTGGAACCAGGGACAACGAGTTACTAGTGGTATTGTTTTTTTCAATCTTCTGTCTTTATTTCTTTTGCTGCTAATCTTGGACTTACGAAAAATAATACCTTGCAGATTGATGCTGAATTTCAAGTGCTTTCACCGTTGGTTCCTGTCCGTCAAGTGAGATTAATCCGGTTTTGTAAGCAGCATTCGGAGGGCGTATGGGCTGTGGTCGATGTTTCGATTGATGCTAGCCAAGGGGCTGCAAATACGCAAATGTTCCCAAACTGCAGGAGGCTTCCCTCTGGCTGCCTTATCCAAGACGTCGACAATAATTGCTCCAAGGTAATTAATAAAACATGTACTTGATATTGAGATGCTCATTGAGCATTGTACTTATACGCATTTAATGCGGTCGTCATCGTAAGTACAACTTCGCTTTTGAGTTTAGTCGAGACTAGATGAAGGTGAGATAATATGCAGTTGGAACTCAATCCCAATCCACACATTGACTTGTGCTTTGATCAATTTAAGTACTTTTTACCTACGAATATGAAGCTTTAATTATTTTTCTTGCTCTTAGGTCTTGTTTAAATCCTTTTGAATTCGAGTTTCGAAGCTATGTTGTCGTATGCATAATCTACTTAATTAGTCAACTACTATTTGCAAATTCGAGAAAATTGAGGTTAAAGTCACAGCTTGATATTAGTATGATCTTGAGTGTACCTTAATTATAATCTTTATGTGCAGGCAAATCCTTGGAATTGTCAAATATTGTTCTATAAGTTATATTTTGATGTTTCTATTCCGAATCTATTCTCATTTAATGTATTTTTAGCTGTCCACGAGGGGATTAGCAGTATCCAGTCATTATCTTGTAGTTTTTAGTCTCCGTGTTATGTGCCTGATCGCGTTATTTTAATCATCGTCCTGGTTTACCTAGACTGAAATCTGAGGTTTGACTCGATTTCTTGCCTTCTCTGATCCTTTTTCTTCCGTCATGCATTGGTATTTGCGAAATCTGACCGAGTTTATAGTCTTCCAGGAGTCTTGATTATCGATGTTTTGTTTTTCCCCGAGCATAAGTTCATAACTGCCTTGATTATTGATCTGATATTGTTGCAACGAAGCTCTCTTACGAATATTTGAATGCAGGTTACATGGGTCGAACACTCGGAGTATGATGAAAGTGCCGTTCACCATCTCCTACAGCCGGTAATCAGTTCTGGTTTCGGGTTTGGTGCACTTAGGTGGCTTGCTACTCTCCAGAGGCAGTGTGACTGCATGGCGGTACTGATGTCCCAAGATGTACCTGGTGAAAATAGTTCAGGTTCGTTTAGCTTGTCGATCGTCCTTGAAAAAGAATGGAGTTGTCCTCGTCTAATAAGGCTCTATTTGTGCTGTAGGAATAACTCCGGTCGGGAAGAAAAGCTTGCTAAAGCTTGCGCAGCGCATGATGAATAACTTCTGTGCCGGAGTTTGTGCTTCGAGCATTCACGAATGGGACAAGCTTAGTATTGGTAATGTTGGTGAAGATGTAAGGGTGATGGCACGGAAGAACATAAATGATCCCGGTGAGCCTCATGGTGTTGTGCTGTGTGCTGCTACTTCCGTTTGGATGCTGGTAACACAAGACGGCTGTTTGATTTCTTGCGGGACGAACGGACGCGGAGTGAATGGGACATTTTGTCGCACGGCGGGCCAATTCAAGAGATGGTCCGTGTTGCCAAGAGCATGGAACATGTTAACTGTGTCTCTCTCCTTCGTGGCACGGTAAGTTTCCGATCTCTAGATTCGTTCGACTTACGATACCGGAAATCTCGGATTTTCTCATTTATGATGTGCATTTCCCTTGCAGGCCGCTAATGCAAACAAGAACAACATGCTAATTCTACAAGAAACATGGAGTGATGCCTGCGGAGCAATCATAGTTTACGCACCCGTCGACATATCGTCGATGAGTGTGGTGATGAATGGCGGCGATTCGGCATACGTTGCACTCTTACCATCAGGATTTGCGATTCTTCCTTACACGTCACCTGGTTATCACGGTGGGCGAAGCGACTCGAACGGACCGTCGGTGAAACCCAAGATCGACGGGCGTACAAGTGGTGGATGCCTGCTTACAGTAGGATTTCAGATTCTGGTCAACAACGTTCCCACCGCGAAATTAACGATGGAATCTGTGGAGACCGTCAACAATCTGATCACCTGCACGATTCAAAAGATCAAAGCTTCGCTTACAGTAACATAGCCGGAGCAACAAAGTAAGGTAACTGCATATATTTTTGTTCTTTTTTGAAAGGAAGAGAAAACAGCAATAGAGATATGGAGATGGTAGGGTTATAAGTCAAGAACGAACCGCCGGCGCCGGACGCCATTGATGTTGCGAGGGGGGATTGTGGTTCGGGCATTGACTTGGTTGACCTATGAGATGGTCTTAGCTGGTAAAAAAAACATGTTTTTTTTGTTATAAACACATTTTGCAAGACAGGTCTTTCGGTTTTTGTGTCCTTAAGTTGATCAAAATTCAGGCTCAGCTGCTTTCTGCATTTTGGTTTCTTGATAACATAATGTTTGATTTTGAAAATAATAAATATATAGAAAAATAGTATAATATTATATAAAACTCACTATTATAACTTTAGTATAATCATGATATGTTTATTATAACGGTAGTGATCAAAATAAAATTTTTGTTTAGCTAGCGGTGACATTAATTTTAATGTTGATTGTCGACCTAACGTGACTATTAATTCTCTTGTTTTTTATATTATGTCTTTTATATTTTTTATTTTCTTGAATCCTTTTAATTTTGAATAAGAATTTAAATTCTTGTGACACATTTTTATACTCTTGCGACACATTTTCTCTGTTCTTGTGATACGATCTTTATGATTTTTGACATGTTTTTTTGCATATTTTTGCTGTCGTTTTGGTTTGTCTGTGGTCATGTATAATATGATCCCTTCTTTTGGTTAAAGATTTGATGTTGTAATTAAAATTGTGTAGTGAAGTAGTATGTCAAATCATTTGATTCGAATTTTACTCATTTATCACTTCGTAAAACGTCTCATTTGATAGATAATTTTTATAGAGATTATTTGTGTTTTAATATTGATCGTCATTCTTAATGAAATGTTTTATTTTTTTCGTTTATTTAAGTTTAATATTTTACTTTTTTAGTGATTATTGTTTTCAAAGTTATCTCGATATTTTAATACGTTGTAATCTTGATTCTTTCAATTATTAATGAAATCCAATTGTAATTGTTAAAAAATCTTTTAATTTTTTTCCTAGATGTTTGGTTCGAAAAAAATTATCGTCAATAGCAATATATATATATATATATATTGTTTGTCTTCATTCTTCTCATTAAAATGTAACATAAAATAAGATTCTTATAAAAATAATAATTGAGTGATTAAAATAAAACAAAAGTGATAGTTGAATGATCAAAATGAAACAAAAGTAGGTGATCAAAATAAAACAAAAAGATGATAGTTGGGATAGTAACAAAGTTTACCCTAAATAAAACAAAAGCCCATGCCAAATTTCCTGAGCAGCCCAGATTTGGCCGTTATCGCCTTGTTTTCACTTTGAGGTGATGTTATCGTACGATTGAGAGGCTTAGAGCCTCCATGGTGGTGAGCGATGGAGAGGTAGAGAAATATAAGAGATGAAGTACACGGGGAATTGTTTTAGGTTATATTAATTTATTTTTGGATTAATTTCATTTAAGTCATCCATCTTTAGCCGCATATTTATATTTTTGTCATTAAGTTTGAACTATTATGAATTTTATTCTGGATCATAGGGTCAGATCACGATAATTTACTTTATTGTTTTGCTGAAGTGTTTATTAAGAAGTTTTAGGATTAATCATTCTTAGGTCCCTAATATTTATGCGCCTTTTTATGAAATAGTCACCCCTTCCTCATTTTTTAATTATTTTGAATATGATGCTCTAGTTTCATTAGTTTTATTTTAATCACTCATTTATATTTTTATTTCGAAATTAGTTGTGATATTTTTATTTTATTTTATTTTGGTCACTATTTTTATTTATAATCTACTCACTGTTATTATTTTATTTTGATCTCTATGCTTTATTTTATTATATTTTAGTCATTTTAATTATATATTTTAATATTCTAAACTATTTTATTTTAAATAAATACCTTACTTAGAAAAGTCTAAAAAATCAAATAATCTACATTGTTTATGTTTATGTTTTGTTTACTTTGTTAAACTATATTATATATATGTTAATTTCGCTTAGAAAGCATTTTAAAAAATCATTAAAATAATTCATTATAATTATAATTATTTTTATTATATTTTAAGATAAATTGTGTAAAATTTAAAAAACTTCACGACAACGACACCCGCATTGACCGCGATAACATCCGTTAAGTCCGCAATCGCAATAAACGTGACCCGACCGAAAACATGACCAGGAAGGCTATTTATAACCCTGGCTGTTTGTGCTATAGAGAAAGTAAGAGAGACAGTACAGATAAAAGGGACTTGATGCTGAGGATATTAGGTTCTCGTTTATTGTGAATTTTCCACCTGGGTTTAAGATTGGTAAGTATTATAGGATTGCGGTTTGGAAGTGGCAACGAGTTCCGTATTGGTCGCCTTATGAGGATGTTTCCGGTTATGATTTGAGATCGTTAAAAGCTCGGAAGAGAATGGAAAAGAGGGCAGTAGCAACTATTCATGAGTTGCTCTCATTGACCGTGGAGAAGAAGATTTCTTTGGAGAGGATTGCGCATTTTAGGATGGCAATGAATTTGCCTAAGAAGTTGAAGGATTTTCTGCTACAGCATCAGGGGATATTTTATGTTTCGACAAGGGGTAACTATGGAAAGCTTCATACAGTGTTTCCTAGGGAGGCTTATAGGAAAGGGGAGTTAATTGAGCCAAATGATTTGTATTTTGCGAGAAGGAAGTTGGGTGAGTTGGTTTTGCTTAGCTCTAGAAAGGCAAAGGTGGACAAGGATCTGGTTAGCTATTGGAGGGATAGGAAAGTTGATGACATTGTGCGTGTTAGACCGGAATATATGAAAAACAACTATGAAGATTTCAGGGACGAGGATGAAATTGAGCACGAAGAGATAGGAAAACATGGTTTCGATTCAGATCTACTTTCTGATAACATAGATGAGAATGAAGCTATGGATGAAAAGGAGGATACCGTGTAAGAGAATAAAAAGACCGACTTTTGTCGTTTAATGTCATTTTTAATTTTGTAATATTGAACTTATAATCAGCCAGACATTACAATGGACAACCACCTTATGCAGTCGATGAGCATTAACATCCATAGGACATTTTGGATTAAGGATTGCCTTGTCAGATACGGAGAATGTCAATGGATTTCTAAGTTGTTGGTGGAAGAAGCACGGACTTCTATTGTGTGATTAATGATAACTTGGGGCTTTGATGAACCAATCACAAAGTGGGAGAATACAAAGGTAGTGATGGACTATTGAAGCTCAAGTATTTGTACTGCAACAATTCTTCTTGCTTTTGTTAGTTACCAAAGGAAGAAGTTGACAAAAACTTTCTGCAGGTAAATGGAAATAAGGAACTCCCTGAGGTTTCTAGTGATATCGTGAAAGTGCCACGATTCTATTATTTTTTGCTCTCCCCTCCATCTGCAGTTTGGTGTTCTGTTTTCATTTTTCAAATTTCTATATACAGGTTCTTTATTTCTATTTGGGTGAAAGAGACAAGAAGGAAAGTATGGGGTGGGTTAAGCACAAATAGATGGGTGTTCTGTGACTCGGGGTAAAGCAGGTCTTTGGTTGGAAATAAGTGATCCTGTTCCTTGAAAAAAGTGTGTAGGCCTTTTTTAAGTTTATTTACATTTTAGGTCTAGAGTTTCCTTTGCAGGGACCAATCCTTAACAGCAAGTCATTCAAAGAGTGCATGGATGTGGAGTAGGGTCCTAGTCAAATACAAGTATTTTTTATGCAAATGACAAACCGTTTTTGGTTCCTTGAGTTCTTGTTTGACAAGGTTTTAAGGAGATAAAAATGCTGGATTTTAATCAAAATGACTGAAAGTTTTCTTTTTATCATATTTGACTTCCATAGGATGGAATTTGAGAGGAAACTGTTCCTGTGTTCAAACAAACTGGAATGCTTTCTTCTAATTAACATCATATAAAGTTTGGATATTCACTAGTTGCAAGAATTTGTGACCATTGAAAATAACAGATGCAGAGTGTTTGATTATGAACTTTCCTCGTCCTATGCGTTGAATCTTTAGAATTATCTACTTTTTTCCTGGTGTACATACTACAAGTAGAAGGCATCATCATGGCTGCTATTTTATTTACTGTTCTACAGGTCATGATTCTGACAAACAATTTGGATAACTAAAGCTTTTTTCTTTCTTGAATAGTCTCGGGTGATTAAAAGGGTAGTATTTGTTCATAATATTTCTTAACTATTGACAATGGACGCTGTTGTTCGAACCCAAAATCTATAGGGAGAATGACACTCATTTATCGTACTCAGTGGATTGGAATGACAAAAGCTTTTGTTGCTTTGGAAGGCATAAATTTTATGCTTAAAAGCACCTCGCATTACTGGTCTGGTTGCTAAACCTTTTTATCGCTGTCTTTGTATATTTGCTTATTTGTTACTTTGATGGCAATGATCTAAATGAATTGGTGTTGTAGACACTTGTTTTTGTCCGGATTTTAATTAGGCTTATTATTATTATTATTATTATATTTTATTAAATAAGTGTTATTACATTTTTAATTACAGGCTTAGATTACAAGCAAGCTTAACAGAATCCCCGAGCCCATTACAAACAGCCCACTACAAAAAGATTACCCAAGACCCGAGGCCCAAGATTTGATCCGGTCCAGACTCGTTTGCAACCCAAACCAGCTAGGGGTTTTCATCCTTAATATCATACAGTCGCCACCAAATGTCAGCAGTCCGATCTTGCGTGTAATGCACGTGTCAAACTCTTCAGCTCTCCATACCGAAACGTGCGCTTCGCTGGTCATCACCCCAGTCACGTGAGCCGTTGCCGAAAGCCACTAGCCATCTTTTTCACCAACAGTGACTGAATCTACAACAAAATCAATCAAAAAATAAAAACAAAATCCAAAGCAAATCCTAATGTGTCATTCAATAAAACAGGATAATGACATCCTATCTCCTCAGCAACAGAGATATCACCAAGTCCACATGCAAGATAAAAGAAAGGAAAGAGAGATAGAAGAGGAGGATTCGGAGAAAATGAGAGAGGAAGAACTGAAAAAAGGGGGAGAGAGTATTTGAAAAAAAAATAGAGGTTGAACAGAGAGAAAAATCAGAGAGAGGAGGAGAAAAACAAAAAAATTAGAGAGAGAGGAACCCAGAAAACTTACCCCTTCATAGAGATCTTATCGTCGGTAGCACCATCGGAGTAAAGAGATCCTACCACCGAAGGTAAAGCCTCAATGTTCTTTTTAGATCTAGGTTTTCGAGAGGGTTTGGGTCTCGGTTTTAGATTAGGGAAGGTAGTTTTTTTAGAAAGGATAGAGGGGAAGACAAAGGGATTGATTCAGGTGGGGTTTCTCGTGCCATCGACATTGACGTACAACGGCCATGGCTGTTGTTCAACTCCTCACGGCGGAGGAGTGAAGAGAGGGGGAGGAGAGTTGAGAGAATTTCTCTCTCTCTCTCCTTTGGTTAGAACAAAAATGGGGGAAATGATATGGGTGGTCGGTTTAAGCTTAAGTGGGAAACATATATACTCTGCTCAAAACGACGTCGCATAGGGGAAGACTGAGCGCCTGTTTAGGGGATAATAGCAGCCTTGGTCCCTGTTGCTTTGTAATCTCACCCATGTTTTTAATTTTTAGGGGTTAATATCCGTTTAGGTCCTTGCTTCTTTGTAATCTCATGATTTGGTTATGGAATGAAAATATGATATTCTGTTTCAGGAATTTGTTTTTCAACATTTACGTTTAAGTCCCTAATTCGTATATTTTGATATATTTGTTTATTTTCAAATCTGGTCCTAAGATTTATGATTAGTTTGTTTTAGTCATTATTAAATATGAATGCATTTAGGTTTAATTACTATTCACCCTTTTATATTTTTGGCTTAATTTATTTTAGTCCTTAAGATTATTTATGGATTATTTTCATTCTCAGTGCCTTTGTTGTTTAGTATGTTCGATTGTGGTTCTGTCTTGTTTTTAATTACTGTTTGGTCCTCCAAGTTTTTGATAGTACCATTTTGATCCCTTAATTACCAAACATGCTTATTCGATTATTTATATTTTGATGTGTAATGATTTATTGTTTTGTTTTAGTCCTTTATGTATATATGTATTTTGTATATTATGTATTTATTAAATAAATTTCGTTAATTCCATTTGTAATAAATATTTTGTTCTATATATATATTATATAAATATATTTCAGTTCATGTTTTTTTTTCATTAGACTCCTTTGATGTGTTACTCGAATAGTTTCAAGAACGTTATTTGTAGAATGGGCATTGGAAAACACCATTTGATCGAAGTGATGTAATCCGATACAACATTCGAACAAAATGCGAACTTGAAATAAGTCAGTTTTATTTTGCTAATTAATTCATTTTTATTTTAAGTTGAACAATGCAATGTATGTTTCTAAATAACAATTTATTTATTTTATGCAAAATGTCGATATACAATTTATATTCGATTTGCATTTTTATATATGAGGGGGAATATTCTTTTATAGATAAGAAATAGGCGTGACAGCTTTCCCGATGGAGGGTTTCTAATCTCGAGATTTCTTTTCAAGTTAAAGATTTTTTCTTAATAATAATTCGAAGTAAATTAATTAAACTTTAATAAATGGATCATACTTTAATTATTGATGCGAATTCATGATTTCCACCATTACAACAACGTGTAAGCAGCTAAGTACCAATTTAGGGCGCTGTGGGGTGCTAATCCTTTCTCATGCGTAATCGACTCCCAGACCCGTAAAATTGAGTTTTTGGTAAACACAGATTAATTTTTGTCTTACAAAACGATTTTTCTTAAAATTGTTTTAAAAGACGTTTTTAGGTATTCGACCTACATATCTCAAAGGTCGATGGTGACTCATATTCAATTTAATTCAAATTAATTAAAAAATCCCAATTTTTTTTAAATAAAGTCAGTTTTTTAAAATTAATCGTTTTTCTAAAAAAAATGGTTATTACAAGTGTGATTTATGTTTATCATAGATACGTTTTGTTAGTGCTATAATTGATGCCATCAAACATTATATATGGACTCTTATGTTTGGGTTGCTGGAAAATTAAATAATTATTGGACGAGAATAAAATAAAGATGAGTGAGTCTGGTTGATTTAATGTAATGAGAATTAGTTAATAATTAAATAAGTTACCGAATGAAATGAAATCTCAATTGGTTTTTCTTAGCTTATCTCAATTGGTTTTTTTATTAAGTTAAGGTAATTACAAAGTAGTATCTGTTCTAAATACTCATAATTATTTGACAATGAACACTCAATCACCTTACTGCAATCGTTGTTGCTTGAACCCGTGACATCTAAGAACAATAACGATTCCTATATAAATATATATCATTAATTAAAATTTATTTGAAATATATATCTAATGATTGAGCCCCTATATAAATAATTGATGTTACAATGATGATATGATAATTTCTCACAACTTATTAATATGTTGATGTGGTAACTCCAAATAAAAATATTTGCATTGATAAAATGTTTTTGATAGTTAAAAGGATAATTGTTATTTTTAAATATTTTGGGTTTAAATACGATATTTGTAGGGGTGTTTGACGTTTATTGTTAAATAATCAAATATTGTTTTTATTGATACAATTTTGTAATCATCTTATATTAAAAATATATTTTTGTAACACTTCAGATTCTGGGTTAGGAGTTTTGGGCCAACTGAGTTGGGCCTTAAATTAACTCAGTTTATGAGAGGTTTTGACCCAGATTGAGATAGATTTGGGCTTGAGCCAACCTCAATGAAGAGTAAAAAGGTGTTTTTAATATGCAATCAGAATTAGAGGGACCAAGGAAATAATTTCACTATTAAAGATTTCAAAAGCTAAATAGCTCTTAATTTCACTAGTAAAAAGGTGTTTTCTCAACTCTTCATTGTATTCTTCTATTCTCTTCTATTCTCTTCGTCTTATTCTTCTTCAAGCCAA